ACTTATCGACCGTAACTTTTAAGTAAAATAATAGTATTTTTTTTCTCACAATAAATCAGCATCAGCCGTTTTTTCAGCCAGCCGATCAGAGCCACAGTATATACATACATTTTATTATCTTAGCTCCTGAACCTACACGTTTTGAATATTGCAGACCACCAGCCTGTTTGCTCGGTCGTATTTAGCTTATAAGTCATGGCTTATCAGTCAACGAATAATATTTTTCTCTCGCCTCAAACCAGCCAACAGTACTTTCAGTCATGACTTATAAACCAAACAAACCCAAACAAACAGGGTGCACAATTCACAACGTGTAACTGTGTCTGTTATCTTACTGACTGTACATGAACCGATATCATAACAAATGTCTTTGATCAGGTCAATATATATAGAGAGAGCCGTATACATAATAAGGAGCTGATCATACTCCACTGTGCATTACCACCTGTGACGAGCAGCAGCGCATATTTCAGGCAGTCACCAATTCACCATAGTGAGAGAGAGATTGGAACACATCAGACAAGAATGCCAAGAACACAGTGCTCAAATGCCAACATCGCCCTAAAAAGACAAATGCCAGCAACCCCACTTCACAGATCACGAGAAAAAGCTTCGTGTTTTGATGATCACTGTGGGTGAACTGGTGATCGATCTGCTATTTGGCGCACATCTTGGCGGGTAACCGTTGGTAGTAGACAGACATATCCTGACGTGCACTTATTTACTACTCCATAGATGTTTGTGGAGTTTAAAAATTGTATATATACATCATCTCTAGTTAGTACTAGTCAGTAGAACATACTAGGTCAAAAAATAACAGTCCTTCCATTTCAAATTAGTTGTCATTCTAGCTCTGTCCTTAGTGAAACATTTTTATTTTGACCATCAAGTTGTATATATTCATATTGTTGGACATGTGATTTATACATTTTGAAAGTATTTTTCATGGTGAATCTAAAAACATAAATCTTATGGTGATAAGCTATATGCATGTCTAGACATTGATGGAGAAAGATGGAAATAAACTGTTGGACAATGTGCGATTTATATATTTTGGAAGTATTTCTTATAGTGAATATAAAAACATAAATCTTATGATGTGAAGCTATATGAATGTCTAGACATTGATGGAGAAAGATGGAAATAATTGCTTTGGATGAGCTAAAGTGACAACAAAAATGAATCATCAGGAGTACTTCGTCTAAAGGTAGAAGGTAAAACAGCCGAGCCGAGCAAATCAAGTGAGGTCCAAATTCTTCTTCAGCTACCAATTTTAGCTTGGCATGGGGCTGAGGCGGAGCCGTGCCAAGGGGTCCTTAGGCCAATCTCGGCGGAGGAGCCACACAAGCAAATTTGATGACATGACACTAAGTTAAAAAGAGAAGGGATGAGTTTCATCTAGACGAAACTAGGTGTACACACTTCCTAGAGGGGGCCTTAGGTCAATCTCAACGGAGGTTTCATTCTCACAAATGGGGGTGCCACACAAGCAAATTTGATGACATGACACTAAGTTAGGAATAGAGAGAGGGGATGAATTTCATCTAGATGAAACTAGGTGTACACTCTTTCAAAGGGGGCCTTAGGCGAGTCTCGGAGGAGGTTTCATTCTCACAAAATGGAGGTGCCACACAAGAAAATTTGATGACACGACACTAAGTTAAGAAAGAGAGAGGGGATGAGTTTCATCTAGATGAAACTAGGTGCACACTCTTTCAAAGGGGGCCTTAGGCGAGTCTCGGAGGTTTCATTCTCACAAAATGGAGGTGCCACACAAGAAAATTTGATGACACGACACTAAGTTAAGAAAGAGAGAGGGGATGAGTTTCATCTAGATGAAACTAGGTGCACACTTTCTAAAACTTGAAAATTGTTCCACACATTGTTTCAAAAAGAATTGTTCCACACTAGCATTGAGAGGCAAAAGTTTTATTTCAGCTAACAATCGTACGTCCAATCAAACATTACATATTAAATGCCTTGAGTAGCCTATGAAACACCAAAATTGAAACTATGCAACGAGAGAGATTCTTTCATTCGTTATCACAAATGACTTTAGATGACATGAAACTGTCGGAAACATCAAAATAAAAATTTTGATTGAGATTGGCCTTACCTCCATTTAAAATAAAAATTTCGATTGAGATTGGCCTTACTTCCACTTAACAGTGGCATTCTTTAATCAGGGGATGTTTGATGCTAGCCACACTGACAAATTTTATCAAGTTAGCAAGTGTTTGATTGAAAAAAATTCAAGTTAGATAAATATTTTTCTTATTTGATAAATATTGTGTCAGAGTAAAAAAAATGACAAAAGATTCATCTTTATTTCATTGTAAAGTGTGACTTAGTTATTTTTTTTACCTACATTTAATTTTGCTAGCTTGTCAAAATTGCAGCCGGAGAGAGAGTGAAAAAACTTATTTTTTGAGTGCATCTAAACATCCTGATTATATTTGCTAGTTTTTGGTTGAGAGATCCAGATTAGATAAGATTTTTTAGATTCCACGTGTCAGAGTAAAAAAAAATGACAAGATTCCTTTATACATTGTAAAGTGTGACTTCAAATTTTTTTAGCCATATTTTTTCTAGCTTGTCACATCAAAGGCGACAGCAGTTAAGAGCATATGAATATCCTGATTATATTTGCTAGGCCAGGCAGTTCAGCGCAGAATCAGCATTTACAATTCTCGCATACCACTCCGACACACGTAGGATTTCGTTTGTATTTGGCAATAATTGTCAATCGTCCGGCCGGCTGCCCAAACGTTGGCTCTGCCCTTGCCAACCAAACTGTGACTAGCCGTGATTTCACTGGCATTTAGCCTCTATAGCGTCAGACAAAAATTCCCTCATGTGACAGCCCTTTTTTTTTATAGTGCCAAAATTTGGATTCTGGGGTAACTAAACAAGGCCTACTTTCCTTGTGAGAGATCCAGATTAGCCGGGTAGGTAGTTGGGACTTGCAAAGGAGTAACTAGGGTGAGTAATGAGACGATCATAAATGAGATAGCAGGGAAAAGCATCAAAGGCGACAGCAGGTAGAGAATATGGGGCATGGTCACTTTGGTCAGGCAGGCAGGGCCAGCATTTACACTACACGCATACCACTAGACACGGAGGAGCCAAGGAGCATGCACGGCACCGTCCGGCCGGCTGCCCGGACCTGGCCCTGCCCTTGCCATGCCGACTGCCGTGGCCACTGGCCTGGCCTCTATAGCGTCAGACAAAGATTCCCTCATTCACTTCTCCAACCCCCGCTCAGCTCAGCCCCATGCTACTGCTCCTGGCTGTAGCCTCCCTCTAGCCGCTGCCTTCCTGCCCTCGCTAACTGTCACCTCCTCACCGCGCCTACTTGCTGGGCAATGTTGCTGCCTTTCTTTCCCACGCCTCCAGTCCAGTACCCACGCCGATTCAATGCTTCGGCAGAGACAAGAGCCACTCTGCCACATGGATGGGGCGTTGCTGCTTGCCAGTCTGGTCTGGCTGGTCTGGTCCGCTCACCTTGCTGTGGCTTGATTTGCTGCCCCATTTCACCCTATCTCCAACAAGTGTCAAGAAAGTTAGCACGACACTTCTTCAAGTTCTAGCATGATCTATCGAAAAACAAAGCAAAGCTATAAGCCATCTTCATGGGTTGGTTTGAGCTGACTATATAGTTTTCCTGGAACTGTCTTACTACCGCACTTTGATGATTTAATTTGAACATACTGCTACTTCAGGTCTGTGCTCTGGAATGTTTGACGTGCAAACACAGGCCATTCAAGGCCACCCAGGGAGGATCATGGAGTGTGGAGAAAGCAAGGGTGAATGCCCCGTTCGGCTTGCTGAATTGTGGCTGAAACTGGCTAAAAACACTGTTCTGGCTGAATTCTTGTGAGAGAGAAACACTGTTCCGGCTGAAAAAACAAGCTGAATAGTGCCGTTTTCTGGGTAAGCCAAACGGGTTACTCAGAAGATCGGTACAAATGGAATTTTGTTGGTGCGTATAATTGCCCATAAAGGCTGAGATGGGCACACCCAGGGACCGAAGAAAGAATGGTCCAGGAACGCTTAGTATAAGATAACAGAATTGGCATGGCTTAGCTTGCCAGATGTGAGCCTAAAGGCAAAAGAAGTTGCATCGGGCATATGGACAAGAGTGCATAGAATCCTCGTCCTTGTTCGTTTATGATCAAGGTTTCCAAACATATCTGAGCTGAATTATCAGCAGCTGATAGGTTAGTGGAATAAGAATTAATAGCATATTAAGCTCGATTTTTAACGGGCCCTGTTTCCAGGTGACAACTGAAAAGTGCCAAAGTCAGCTACTCCAATCTATGAAACATGGACAATACCTAAACAGTATCAATCAAAAAAAGAATGCCAAACACAAAAATCATGCATGCAATATTTGATAATAGAGTTTCCCAATCCATCACAACAAATTATATGGAAAGAAGATAAGTACAACTCCTGGTTTTTTGCATATCTATGTGTAAGTATAAGAGGAACTGCTCACCTAATGGCCTGTTTGGGATGGTGCAATCCTGACCCATTGCGTTGGTGGGCCAGAAATTTAGTTCAAATTCCTAGCCCAGTCCAGTCCACGTGCCACATGGACTGGGCCAGGATCAATGGGCTCTCCCAAACACGGATTCAATGAGACAAAAGGATAAGAGAGAGCAATTCTAATCTGATAACATATGCCTCACCTCTAATAATTGTAGAGCAGCAACCTAGGGAAAGGTTTCTTCATCCCATTCTCATGGCTTTGACTGTAACCTGGTTTGCTCATTTGCTTCCAGTTCCAGGGTAAACTATTTCCTGCAACCAATTGACTCAGTCACTTCAGGGTTCAGGACAATGAAATATCAGAAATGATACAGAAACAATGAAGTTGACCTCTGCCTATCTCGAATTCGGAGCAATTCCATGAATGTTACATTGAAAACTGGCCTCCCAGCAGGCCAAGATGTCATGAACCTCAATGACTCCAAGAGGGTCACACCCTCCAGTTGCTAAACTAAATCATGCTGCTTTTGTCTCTGGAAGCTTTTAAGTAGTTTGATAAGCTCATACGTCCGCACATCATGACCCAACCGGAGGCACAACTCCAACGGGGTCAATCCATCCTGAAAGGAGTTCACCGACAAATTATTCATCGTTTAGCAACAAAACACTTGTTCTCAGAAGAATACAGGACATAAGACTGCCATAAATGCATCCAAAAATGCTATGGAAAAACACAATGAGAATTGAGAAGAATGAATGACAACATGATATCATGTGATTATTAAAGGAATATTTCAAAGCAAACCATTCAGTATACCATAGATGTGTTCTTATTGAATAATCCACAAATGCGTTCTTACTGAATCATTTGAGAACTTTTAGAATATTCACTTTACTTACTTGGGTTTTAAGAGTTCTATCAGCGCCCTTTATTAAAAGTAGCTTCACAATGTCAGTCCTCTGTGTTTGTACAGCAAGATGCAAAGGTGTCCATCCATACTGCAACGTGATCGAGCTACATGTTAAGTCCAACCAACGGAAGAGAAAATAAAGCAAGGAAATTGCAGCACTTAAACATACATCATCTGGACGGTTGATGTCAACATTGTACAGTAAAAGTGTCTTTATGGTCTGACTACATGCTGTTTGGACAGCATAATGCATTAGAGTCGCACCATCCTGTATCACCACAAGTCACAAGAAAAATAAATCTCACATATAATACTGCATCAAACTAGAAAATTCAGGAGCATGACACTTCATCACAGTAAAGATGATTAAATGAGGCAAATGCATTAGACTCTGTACAAACTGTTTACAAGGCATCAAGGAACCTAAAATAATGAAGACAGGCCCAGATAACATTGTTTGCGTTAGGCTCTGTACAAACTGTTTACAAGCATGCTAAACCAGGTTTGTACTCACTTTATCTTGGATGAATGGATTTGCTGAGTTCCTTAAGAGATAGTTGATAATAGCAGCCTTCTTTGAAAGAATTGCTTTGTGAATTGCTGGCAAGCCATCCTAAGGAAACCAGCAAAAGGTCCAATAAAAAATAATGATCTAAAAAACAAAGAAGCCATATAGCTATTTTATAGTCAGGCAGTGGCAATTACCTTATCAAGCGCATTTATGTCCACATTATGTTTTAAAAGACTGTCCAATAGATAGAAATCTCCAGATGCAGCAAGGGTGTGAAGCGGAAGCCATTTACTCTGCAAGGAATAGATACTCACATTACACCGGAAACTAAACTTGAAATAACAAAGATCATCATAGACAAGTGAAGAGGCAGAATTTCCACACATCTTAGAAGGTTTGAGTAGAAAAATCTCTATGGTTCTCGTGCTTCAGAAAGTAGCTCCTACAGGAAGTTATTAATGACTCAACAACAACTGAATTGCTCTGAACACAGATTGCTTACAGAAGTAGCAGCTTCCAGATCAGGCACTCGCTTGTTCAGAAGAACCTTCTCCTCATTTGAGAACAACTTCTGACGGCCTGAAGTATAAAAGAAAATGTCATTATGCAGAATAAAAAATAAACAAAAGAATGATGCAAGATGAAGAACAGTCACTCTAAACTAAATTGCTATTTCATCCAACTTGCCAAACAGCAGTCCGTGCATTCTTTCATAAAAGCAACATTGTCTAACAATCAGTCATCCTTATGTAGCAAGAGAAGCTAACATGACTACCAAGTTTACCAAGGCAATAAAATGTGCACCCCGTTATTGTTAATATATGTTTGGGCATCGATTGCTGTAGTTTGGTCAAAGCCAGTTGGGGTGATATAATAAAACGTGGCGATAGGAGTAAAAGCACACATTCTACTTTACATCACTGCTGATGGCACCCATAACATCGGCATTGTGTTTGACATAAGCACATGAACTGTCATGATCCATATCTATTGCAGTGCCATTGGTAGATATAATGAGTTTTGACTTTCGATATTATTACAATTATACAGGTTTAAACTAGTCCAGTTGTTGTAAAATCTAAACACAAAAGTGCTGCAATGGCTACCCTTGGTTCGCACAGTCTCACTGTTCATGCAGAGCAAATCTCCGAAACACACATGGACACAAACAAATCGTCCATTTCCAGAACATATGAGTAATCAACTACAGTCACTATTCTAACAAAAATGTAGTCACTGAAGCATTTCTTCTGTATGTAAATCAGAACTCACCCTTGGGGCTCTTGCTGTCCTCCATCTCATCCTGAACATACTCCCGACTTCTAAAAAACTCATCAATATCCTCAAGGCTGCCAACATCCACCCCCATCCTCGGATTCCTCGGGGCCACACGCGTCCCAGGCTCTGGCGGTGGAGGTTCCTCCACCTCCGGCGGAAGAGCCCTCTCCAGCGGCCCGCGGTATACATGAGCAACATGGTCACGCTCCGCGCTCAGCATCCCCTTGCGGTACGCGCGGAATTCATCAGGGGCGGCAACGGCCGGGGGCGCCCGCCGCTCGAGGCGGCTCCCGAATCGTAGCCCGTGAGCGATGCGGCGCTTCTCCTTCTTCGTCAGGTTGATCTCCTCCTCGGCATCCCTCCACCTCTCCGGCACCAGGCTCTCGCCCTCGCCGGCCTCCGCCCCCGGCCGTGGCGGGAGGCGCTAGCCCGCGGCAGCGGAGACGAGGGGAGGTTCAGGTCCGGTTCCTCGAAAGCGTCATCGTCGAACACGAGGCAATCCCCGACGACAACATCCTCGTCATCGCCAACGGCGGCGACAGCGAAGGCGGAGGAGATGACTGGCCGTGAGGGTAGGGATAGGACTATAGGTTTTGGGAGTTGATGGTTGAGGTGACAGGACGAGGTGGCGAATGGGTTTAGAATTTGGGTCGGGGAAGCGGAGGGGAGGAGGAGGTGGTGGTGGTGAAAGATGGAGGGCGGCGTCATGGCGTCGTCCCGCGCCGGCGCGCCGTGCTCTGAGGCCGTGCCGCGTCGAGACTTGAGAGGAGGATTGGCCGGTGTAGCCGACCGTTCATGCCTGGGCCGGATATTCGGACCACGCAGTAGCGTGTTTTCTACATGGGCTAAGATTAGCATGTCGGGGCCCGAAAAGGAGGTCTGGGCTTAGAGCAGACGAGTTTTCCTCTAAAAAAAGGATGGTGGCGCCTTCTCCCTCTCTTTTTCTTTTTTTTTTTTGCCAAAAAATTCCGGGACGCATCGCTGCCGAACAATGAGGATATACATGATTCAAGATGGCAACGGGTACACGAAACCCGAGTAGCCGACGGGTTTTACCCGATGAGGAGGCGGTATGGAAGATATTTTGCACCCGCGAGATATATTATTGGACAAATTCTTGTACCCATCGGGTATGTGGGTACGGGTGTGGGTGTATACTACCTATACCCGCGGGTAAAAAAAACCCGCATAAATAATATCCAACATCTGCAATTTTAGCCCATATAAAATATAGCCCATATTTAGCCCATATAAGCATATGAGTATATATATTCTAAAACTCTCTCAAACCCTAATCCTCATCCCCACTCCACTCCACCAGCCCATATTTCTGTTTTGCTGCTCTATTGTTGATTTGTTTTGCTGGAAGCTATTATATTTTGGTGTGTGAACTCGGGTATATTGTCGGGTAAGAATTATCCGTCGGGTAAGAATTACCCGTCGGGTGCGGGTATGGAATAAATTTTTCTACCCGCCTGTGGGTACGGGTAACCCGACGGATAAAATTTTGATCTGGCAGGTGCGGGTACGGGTGGCCAGTACCCATCGGGTACGTACCCGTTGCCATCTTGATACATGATCCAATGACTAGGTATACATGATCAATTAGTATGAAATTTTTACTACAGTTTCAACATACAATAATTAGCCCACCATTAAAATTTCACCACAATTGGACCATACAAACTGCATCTATGAATTAATTACACAAAAACATAAATGTAAAGCTACAGAAAAAAAAATTGTACTAAAGCATACCATATTATATGTTCACTGTGTAGATCTACTTACGTGGAGTCCAAAAAAATTAGATTTTTCATTTTATGATTTTTTTCTATGATTTACTATGATTTTTCAAAGATTCAGCCAAAATAAATAAATAAAGAAAAATACAAAACCGTCTTTGAAAATCGCTTATAACCGGTTAGGGAGGTAAAACGAACGGTTTTAAAAGTTCAAGGAGGTGATTTACCTGGTTTTAGAGTTTAGGAGAAAAATCATACTTTCGCAAAAGTTGACGGAGATATGTGGACTTTTTTCTTTCCTCTAAAGAAAAGATCGTGGCGACTTCTCCTCTCTCTTTTTTTTTTTTGCCAAAAAACCAAGAAACAACATACATAGAGCTATTTGTATATTATTATTAATTAAAGCGACTGGGTCATTACTTTTGTAGGAGTATAATATACGTTCTTAAATTAAACTTATTATCCCTATCGTAGTTTTTTTAACCAAGAAAAAGTATCGCCATTTAAATCTTCAAGTAGGTTTGCCATGAAAATATATCTCATAACTAGTCTACTTGTATTTATTTGGTATTATTCATATAGTTAGTATTTTTCATATAGATTTAGTTAAATATTAAATTGTTTGACTTTCTTGGAGAATTGCATTCTTTTTGGATGGAAGGAGGATATATGGTTAATTATCAGTCAATTATTTTTTAGCTCTAGTTCCTCCAAACAGAGAGCTAAATAGATGTATTGTTTCTTAGCCAGTGCTCTAACTAAGCATTAGCTCATTAGCTCTCTCTAACTTCAACTAATTTAAGATTCGGGAGCCACTGGCCCGAGCACCATGTGCACCCTGTACCAGGCGTGTCGACCACTAGTGTATCATCTATTGATAACTTGTTTCTTTAAGCATATTGGTTTGGGTATACTATTTTTTCGAGGAGGGATTTACCGTATCCGGCTTTTATCAATAAGATTTGGTACAGTTTGGGTATGCTATACTACACCAATGTGAGCCTGTGACGCAGTAATTAGTATATCATGTGTATTGTTAATTTACCTTTTCAAGGATAATCTATATTTTTTATATTTTTTATATTATATTTTATATTTTATATTTTTTACTCGCAAAAAAGGATAATCTATTTTAAATTTGGACCAGTGGAGTGTTTGAATTATTACAAGACGCTTAACATGTACTCCTAGGAATGTTGTTTTTACACAATATCTAGAAAAATAATCTCAAACAGTATTATCCGCACCTGATTCATCCCATATTCTACGCATGCCACTCGTAACTGTAATTGAGACCATTTTTTTCGTGACCGGGGAATATAACCCGTTTTTTATTAAGAAGAAGAATTACACGACGTAGCTACGAGAGATTGTAGCACAAATTATAAACCACCAAGCTAGTGGTGAGTGACGACCAGAAATAAAACTTAACTACAGAAAAAGAAAGAAAAAGAACGACTACCCTCAACACCTAAAACGTACCAATAGAGCCTGCAGAAAATAATACAACAATGTAATGGTTACCTACACAAAAGACAATGCCTTTGTAGCAAAGTATCCACCCAGAGCAGACAAACAAGCATTCAGCAGCACCGCGCGGCAAAGCATCCACCAACGTAGCCATGGCGGCAAAGCATCCGCCAGGAATTCCACTGGCGTCCAAACATCCACCGGGGAAGAAGCAAACACACCCATTACGGCAAAGCATCCGCAGCACGAAATGGCCCTCACACTCTCGACAGCAAGACATCTACCAGAGAGGAAACCAGCGAAGGCGGCGGCAAAGTATCCGCCAGAGAATCCAATGACGGCCAAGTATCCACCAAGGGAGGAAGCGATAGCGGCAAAGCATCCACTACTAGAGCAAAACGATGACAAACCAGCGACGGAGGCAATGTCTAGTGCTGTAAGACAGACCATTGCGAGTAGAACAATAGGCTCACATAGGCGGTATTCATATTTGTATCTATCTATGTACGATCTGAATCTGAAAAAAAATTGTGAAAACAAATATGATATATCAACGATATTCGTCGATATCTGATCCGTTTGCATCTTTTAATTTGTTAATGTCCTAGCTTATACTTATTCAGATTTCTCTTTCATTTTGTGTGTCCGTTTAGATAGCCCGCGCAAGTTCCTGGACGACCTTTGCGATTTCATCTATCTTGCATCTTTTTGGGTTGCACGACACACGTGGCTTCGAGGAGTTTCAGCAGAAATTACACTTTAACATGGACGACATTATAATTTGGAGGCATCATGAGGTAATATCAAAATCAAATCACATAACTACACCCTCAACTCCAAAATTAAGTCATTATAATTTTACCAAAGTTTAACATTTTCTAATTTTGACCAAGTTTAATAAAAAATTGCACCAACATCTACAATATATTAAATTAGTTTAACTAAATTCACCTCAAAATATGTGTTGATACTTGATACTCTCTCTCTCTCTCTCTCTCTCTCTCTCTCTCTCTCTATATATATATATATATATATATATATATATATATATATATATATATATATATTTGTCACTATAAAATAACTTGCATTATGGAATGGAGAGAAGATATCCGATTTCTGATACTTCTGGTTTTTTTTTTTGTACTTTCTGGCATTACAAACTTCCACATATAGTTCCCAGATTGGACATTAAAACGATCAGGTACTCATATAGAAGGAACAGTAGTTATCAGAAGAAAGCATATGGTAAATTTAGTCCATTGAGGCCCCTTTGGAACACGGGAAATTTTCACGTTCCCTACATTTTTCCTATGAAAATTCCTGTAAGATTCCTATGAAATTCCTACGTTCCAAATGGAGTATATGAAACTTGAAAGGCAAAAGCAACTAATATATGTGCGTTCAGAGTTCGAAAAAAGGAATAATTCTCGTCGTACAGACTTGGCTCTGATCAATCGTGCATATTCTCATGCATAAATGTACTTTTCATGGTTTTTAACGTTTAGATAGACCATAAAATAACGAGTCGTTCCGTAAGCAGCAGTGAGCGTATACTAAAATGCATACATATATACTACTGGCTCCTGCTCCGGCCTGTTCAGAGGCGTTGCATGCATGTCACTGATCGATCACAACAGGGAACAAGATCGCCTTTCAATTAATTCTCCTTGTTCTTTACCCATTATTATGGTACGTACTTTCAAGTTTAGGCCACGATCAAAACCCACAAGCAAAGGGAATAAAACAGTCATACACTACTGTTCCCTCCATATGAGCATATGGTAGCTCAAGGACAAGTAAGAACTGTTTCCTGGAAGGAAAAGAACAAAAACACAGCTAAACTCACAGAAGAAACAATCTGCTTCTTGGAATTTAACCCATGCCGCGGGTACACCACAATATATCAATCCGCATACACACACCATGATCCAATGATACAAACCGCAAGAAATATCAACTTACAATACCTGACCAACAAATCTTTAATTTGCTGCTGGGATTCAGGTACCTCATGCATACTACTAGCACACTAGCTAGCTCTATACTAATTCATGGAGCAAAGCCATGGAATAATATCAATGAAGAAAAGCATCAACAACAATAACAATCATGCAACTTACTAGCTTATATTTGCTGGATTGGTTTGGAGCTGCTTGCTAGCTAGAGGCACCTCCCTCCATAGCCAGCACTCCTAAACAATGCCTGCTTTATCTCGTCGGTGCTCATAACTTGTCTCTTCCCGTCCCCCTACCACAAATTGGTAACAAATCCTTGTAATGCATACATACAGGCAGAGATTACTAATAAGGGCATTGAACAACTGGCCCTCTTCGGGCAACGCGTTGTGGATGTTTAATTCCTACTATAGCTGTTTTATTTCATGTTTCTTCATGTTCTAGCAGCTGAACATATTGTTCATGGATTCTAGTATCTAACAACCTATATACCTAAGAAATTGGAATAACGTATTTATGTATTCCCCATTAAATTAGGCCATAAATTACCATCTCCTGGAAGATTTAAGACCGGCGGCATTGAACAATTTTCAGAGTCAAAAGAATCGATCCCTTAATCACGTACTCACTTGCGAGCAAGAGGCCTGCATGGCAAAGTCGCTGAAGCAGCTCACGACGCACTGCTCGATCTCCAGCCCGAGCACCTCCAGCGCGCTTACCGTGGACAGCAGCACCCCGGGGTTTGTCGGGCAGCAGATCTCGATCCTCGTGCTCCCGTTTCCCCGCTTCTCGACGTCGAACTGCATGTGCGCACCCACGCACATAGGTAAAAAATCACTACGGAGTAGCTGCTAGTTCATCGATCAGGTACTGCGTGCTGTGCGCTACAGTTAAGCTAGCTATAGAGTAGTGTATGCATGTGAATGTGGAGGTGCGTACCTTGGTGGAGTTCCTTACCATCATCTCGTTGCTGCAGGTGGACGAATCTTTCAAGGTGTTGAGAAGGTCCAGGTCCTCCGGGGAGGCGCCGATCTCCTCCTCGAGGACTTTGATCCGCTCCGTCAGCTCCTTCACATAGTCAATGGTGTCCCCAAGAATGGATGTCCTGTCCATCTGATGATGGAGCATGCATGACCGATCGATCGGTTTTAGCAAGCTCAGTCGATCACATACCTTATTGGGATTAATCGCAAATTAAAGGCAGACGATACCTTGCTGATCTTGGGAACAATGGAGCGGAGCATGGAGAGGCGGTCGTTGAGGCGCTTCCTCCGCCGCCTCTCGGCCATGAGATTCTTGGACGGCGCGCCGTGGAGCTTGCTCCTGTGGTGGGGGTGTGGGCCGCCAACACCCCTGACGATGGGCATCTCGGAGCTCTCGCCGGCGCCTCCGCCGAACACGAACGTCGGGGACCCGCCACCGCCACCTCCATAGTGCTGCCCCTGCAGGTCAAGGTCACCGCTCGTCTCCTCCTCCACCATGGCGTCGTGGAGAGCAGCGAGCGCCTGTCCGGGTCCGGGCACCGCTGCGGCCTCGGCCCGCGGAACGCCGACGCCGCCGCTCCTGTACGGGTTGCAGACCTCGCTCAGGCAGTCGAAGTTGAACTCCTCGTGCGGGTGCGGGGCCGCCTGCAGCGGGTCCTGGTGGAACGGCGAGAGGTCCATGCTGGTGGCGTCGGCGGCGGCGCCCTCCGTCGTCCCGCCGAAGAAGAGGAGGTCGCTCATCATCATGGCGCCGCCTCCGCCCGGGTAGGCACTACAGGCAGCAGCTTGTTGCCACGGCGCGGACGACGCCGCCTCCCGCCGCAGCGACATGAGCTCGTCCAAGAACGTCTCCTCGTCAAGCTCCATGCCGCCCGGCCCAACTCTCTCTTATCTCCCAGATCAGATGCCGCCACTCAAGAGTCAATCAAGACAACTATAAACTCCTCCCGCTCTTCTAAGTAATATAAATGCTCACAAACCCTCGCGCTTATAAGAAACCCAAGGCGCGCGGCCGTCGTCGTCGGCTGGTAGCTCACAAAAGTCACAGCAGCAGCACGGAGCAGCACATGCCCAACTTGGAGGCGCCAGTTGGCCGTGTGTGTGGGGAGCTACTACGACTAGGAGCTCGGCTAATTATTCCTGATGAGAATAAATTATCCTGCCGCGGTGGGCCGGGGCGAGCGTGTCCGATCCCTGCTGCGCAACCTGATCGAGCGACAATTATTCCTTGGCAATGACTGCCGTTGGTTCGGCAATGGCCGCATGGGCGTGGCCTGGGCACGGGTTACTTGAGCGATCCATCGAGGCATCCTGGAAGTAGCAGAGCACGGCGGCCTACGAATGGAATGGAATCTCCGCATTTGTTTAGTCCCCCTGGCGACATTCGGTTTTCAATTACGGACCCTGTCGTTTTCTCCTGAAATCTGCAATCTCGCGGACACGGGCCAATTTTTAAACACCTCCCGTCGCTGGCAGCGTTCGACCCAGGTCGTCTCGACAACGGAATTTATAGGTGCTTGTCACGGCCACCTACAGGCAGAGGCAGCCCCGGAACGTAAAAAAAGGGACGGTCGGACGGGCTACACTACACTAGGCGGGCCGGCCGTTGTTTAGGGCATGTTTGATACGAACCTGGACGTAAGATGCCTGGCTAGGAGCTCGCCTGGAAACTGCCTGTGCAGTGTTTGGATGAAGCCCTGAGAGCTTGACTGACCCAGGCAGCCGTGCGCACGTCCAGGCCATGGAAAACGTCCGCCTGGCTCAGGCTCCGTAGTTTGCCTGGACGCAATAAAGTATTCTATTCTTAATTGACGTTAATGGTCACTTGATTAAGTCCATAAGACCATGATTACCAGATTTTTTCTCTTCTTTTTCCATGTAAACGCTAACATAGTTTGTATTCTGAAGCTCTCTACTCTGAAGCTTTCTACTCTTTAATTAAATACATATAGAGATCTTTCATTAGGAAAAAATTAATTTAAATTAATTTTTTAGCAAAGAAGAGATAATTAACCTAAGTTATTATTCTAGTAAACACACCGTAGTAGTGTTCATTAATCCTATACAAACAATAAAAAAGTAAAATTTCACTCGCATAAACATCCTCAGGCACAGACATCCAACCAAACAGACTTTCTCTCACATTGCCTCACCAGGCAAAACTTATCAAATTTCCAGGCAACTTCCAGGCAGCATTTTTTACCAGGCAAGTCACCAAGGTCTCTATCCAAACAGGCCCTTAATGCCGGATTGATTTGATCCCCCATGGCCGTCTTGACGCGCGCACGCGTGGACCGTGGACGGAGCACGGGCGGTCGATGTCGCGCGCACCCGCACGGCTCGATGGATCATCGACGCGGAGTCGACGTGGCGTGTGCCCGCCTCGTTCGCTCTGGAGCCGCATGGCGGGGGAGGGGACGGGGAGACCGAATTTTTTATTTTTTAGTCTTTTTTAAAAAAATTAACAAACATGTCTCTGGAGAAAAGATTTCAGAATCTAGACCCTTAGCTCGGCGCCATCGTTGCTGACGCCGAGCTAACACGTCTCGGCGCCAGCGTCCCTGGCGGCGCTAACGCCGAGCTCTTGGGCTCGAAGCCAACGTGGCGGTGACATTGCAAGCTCGGCGCCAGTCACCCTGACGCCCAGCTCGGCGCCGTAGATCTTGGCGCCGAGCTTGGCGCGCAAGGTGACTGGCGCCGAGCTTGTGTTTTAACCCCGGCCCCAACCTTTATCCCCGAGCTTTCTTCCTCTTCTTTCTCCTCCCTCTCGGGTTTTTTCTCTCCCCACCTCGTCCTACCTCACGAATCAGCATATTGGACCTTACAAACTTTGATTTGATCCGTAGATCTTCGAGAGTAAGGTATCCTCGTTATTAGTCGGATTTTTCAACCTACGAATCGTCATTACTTAAGATTTCATTCTATCCCTCAATATTTGTATTATATAACCGTAGGATGATGCCAAGACGTGAAAAAGCTAGCAAACCTAGGTAACTGCAGCGCATGTAATTATGTTATGGGTTAATTGTTCTGCATCAAATGGAAAAACCCTAGGTTTAGGGTTTAATGTTAATTGCTTTCGGTTTTTAGAACGAAATTAGTTGTATTGTAGTTATGGTTCTCACTGGTATTTATTTGTGATGTTTTGATTTTTGTTTGTTAAATTACATCCATTTTGTTAGATGCAAGAAATATATCGGGAGGAGTTTTGACGAAAACGGGGTCGTCCTCGAGAATTATACCCCGACGCGTCTAGCAAAGATGCTCTCGTCCCTCCTGACCTCTCTGTCTCTAACTGTGACTGTGGTTTCCTGGCCCATGTTTTTCAATCGAAACATCCGGACACAGCGGCGCGGTGCTTATACACATGCAGTCGTTTTAATGTAAGAAATTGTTTCCACTATCTTTTTTCTTTATTTGTGTAAGTATGCTACTAATATTTTATTGGAATGACGTTGTGTAGGACCATGAGAGGTGTTTTTTCTTTCAGTGGATCGACGCTGCAGACAAGTTTGATCCTAGGTACCTTCTTTTCGACGATTGGTTTAGAGGGAGATATCCACGTGAGCACTTCAAGCGGTGGGTTCCACCCCCCTAACCCTCCGTCAATGACGGCTAAGGAGAAGCACCTAGCCGCAGTTAGACGACTCGAGGAATCTTCTCTGTGCCATTGCGGAGATCGAGCTGTGATAAACCCTGAGAATACGTTGGAGTTTGTATGTCCAAACAAGCATGAAGTAAGTGCAAAGTGTATGTGTTGAAATATTGAGCTATATGTGTTCATATACTAATGTCACCTTATTTAGGTGTTTTCAATGGCGAAGTGTTGTTTCAAGGAGTGGTTGTATGGTCCTAAGAATCAATGGCCGAAAGAACCGCGAAAGGTTAAGGAAAAGAAGAAAGAAAGGATAATTTACAAAGCACCTCCTGTCATGTGCGAATGTGGTATTAAATCCAACTATGGCCTAGTCCCTTCGAAGCTTGGAATTGGCCATTATTGCGGCCATATGATTGACTATGATAAGGTTGGTTATTTTTGTGGTAAACATGAAATCGTATTTTGTTTCTTTTGCTAAGACATATATAATATATTTTTTTATTTGAACAGAGCACTAGGAAATACAGGTGGAAATGTTATAATGGTCAAGCTAAGTTCTTAGATGAACTGAAGGGGAGGCAAGTAATAGCACGTAAGAGGGGATATGGACCTGACTACGTCAACCTATTGGTTAAACATCACAAAGAAAAGATACGCGAGTTTGCTAGACAGCACGGTATTTGTAACCCGATCGATGTTGGGCTTGATAATTAGGGATTGGAGAGACGGTTGACGTTAGAGAAGGTGAGGGCAAGGAAAGAGGCAGGGGAGGAGACAAGAGTACAGATGCAGGTCTTGAACGAGCATGTTGTTGCATTATGTGCCACTGAGTGCTTGAAAACCTTTTTTCGTTGCCTGATTTTAAATGTAATATAATCGCGTTGCTAACTTATTGCATTTTATACATGAAGCGATTGGATGCAGCGAGGAACATGCCGCAGAGGTGGCTCGTGCAAGGTATGAGGAAAAGAAGTTAGATGAGCACAGATCATGAGCTGGTCGTACCGTTCAATCACCGATTGTGTTGTCTAATGAGAGGGACGAGGATAAGGACGACACTGGCAGACTGAGTGAGCTCATCGCTCTAGCAGAGGCGGGCTTGCAGGCGGAGGAGGCTGAAGACGACACTGACAGACTGAGTGAGCTCATCGCTCTATCAAAGGCGAGCTTGCAGGCGGAGGAGGCTGAGGACGACACTGGCAGACTGAGCGAGCTCATCGCTCTAGCAGAGGCAGGCTTGCAGGCGAAGGAGGATGACGATGCGTTCTTCACTCAGGCCGTAGAGGCCGCAGATGAAGCGGAGGCCGCTTACTATAAGCGACAGGCAGGTCAGAGCAATGCAGGTGAGCCTAGCCACAGCAATAGGGTTGTGGTAAAGGACTGGTACTCGGATGAAGAGTTGCTTACTCAGTATGTTTCAGACTGAGGATTTGAAAGTGCATTTGCCCTCTATGTGGGTTTTGGTGCATTGATGACATTCAAATTAGGGACTAATGTGATCTTAATGAGATATGTCACAGCTATTACTCAGTATGCGCTCTCCAAAGGTTTTATTTTTGTTTTTGAGTTTCGGATCCGCCGCACTATAAAGAGGGATGCAAACTTAGTTGGTCTGAGGGAGATAGAGTGCTCAAGCATAGAAATATAATCAAAAGAGAGACACTCTAACACTCCACGGGTACGTAGAATATTTTTAGTGACTGTTGGTGTCGAAAGTCACGACGTAAGCTAGAACTCCCGACAGTCGAAAGTCACGACTCATACCGGAAGTCCTAACGCCTAGTCACTTAGCCTGCGCATTGACAGTGAACGTTGGAAGTCCCGACGTGAGTCGAAACTCCCGACAGTCGGGAGTCCCGACCCAAGTCGGGAGTCCTGACCCAAGTCTGTACGATACGATTGGACTATACACGTTCTAATGAATTTACATTTAATCTGTGTACTAGATTTGTGCCTTTTCAACACACAAAACACATAAAATGACATGTGAGAACATGTATCGAACTAGGGTACAGAGTTCCTTCGACTAAACCTAACATGTCTTAGGTAATTAAACCAAACAACAAACACATAGATGTGCCATATGAATAAAATAAAGTCGTCCTACTAGTGTGGCCACATAGCAAATTGTGTTGCACCTTCTCCAAAGTAGCCTCCCATTGTTGGTGGTGGCGGCGGCGGAGGCCCCTTGTTCTTATGATTAGGGCAGGTGCAATATGGATCATTGCAGAGTGCCTCCTATGAATCGGCACTATTGTTGTTGTCGTCC